GCAGTAGTAGTAGTGGTAGTCGAGCGGTGAGGTTGTTGTTGTTTGTTATCGTCGTGTCGCGTCGTCTTGCAAATCTTGCGGATGTCGGCTGACATTTAGGCCCGAAACTAACTATGGCCGAGTTCATCCGGGGTGGTAGCGGCGTTGTGCTGCCGACGCCGACGCCGCGGTACAAAATGCAAGGCTCCCCCAGCACGGGGAGCGACGAAGGTCCAGATCCACCTCAGCCTGAAGATTTCGATCCCTTTCTGGCTGAGGCTGAAGAACCCGAACCGCCGACCAACAATGAACCCACTGCTCCTCCAGAGAGTCAGTAAGTTTCGAGTGTTATGCTTTCACTTCACGTCATACCTTGTGAAGTTTGGCTCATCCTGCCTATCGACAAATATATCAATATACGTGCATGACTGGGTGAGGTTGGGTTGGTCTGCTGCAGTCAGTCATAATAAATAAATAAACACATACTTAATGTGATTTCTGTCTTTAAAACATTTTTTACATGCTGCCAGAGAACAATACATCAAATTCTAGTTCTTTATTTACAAAAGTTAAACAGAAGACGTAGACCTGCATCAATTAACATATCCGCTTGACATTAATTTTAATGCTAATAAGATAATGTGTGGTGTTTGAAACAAAAACAAAAGTTTAATTCACTGGCATTTTTAAGTGAATTACAGTGTTTGTGCATTTGTGATCCTCTTTTGTCCATTGACGAATCTCGAATCTTACATTTCCATTCAGTTCTATTAGTTCCTATATTGCCAACTGGTTTCTTTTAGGTGGTACCATGGGCGTCTCCATCGCTGTCGTGCTGAAGAACGATTGTGGGGTGCAAACAAATCAGGATCTTACTTAGTACGTGAAAGTGATAGAAAACCAGGATCCTACGTACTGTCATACCTTGGTCGAAATGGAATCAACCACTTCAGGTATGTGTTATCCTATTTTTGAAGATTTAACTTCTACCCTCGTCGATTTCTACAGCCCATATTTTCATAGTTTTATGAACTAATAATTGTCTTTATAAATTGTTATTAACTTTCACACATTTTATTCCTGTTGTAGGATAACTGCAGTGTGTGGGGATTTTTATGTTGGTGGAAGACAGTTCGACTCTCTATCTGATCTTATAGCTTATTATACTCATTCATCGGACTTGCTGAAGAGAGAAAGACTTATTCATCCTGTACCCCCACCGGAACCTGTAAATGACAAGAAACGTGTGGTTGCTATTTTGCCGTACACAAAGATGCCCGATACAGATGAATTGACGTATGTAAATTAATGAGAGAAAACAGTTAACTGTTGTTGTTATCATATATGAGTATCTGTTAGAATGCTTCTCTATGTTTCTGATTTAGATTTCAAAAAGGAGACATCTTCTTTGTCCACAATGATATGGGAGATGGGTGGTTGTGGGTGACAGCACATCGCACAGGCGAGCAAGGAATGATATTCCAAGACCTTGTTGAAGATCTGGATGACAATATTGACCCAAATACTGTATTTAGTTGGTTTCATCCAGGTGTCACTAAAAGTGAAGCTGTTGATATGTTGGTGAAAGGTACTTCATCGAACATTTAATCTAATCTCACAAGCACAACAAAGTGAACTTTTCAGTCTGTGTTAATATTCTACCCTATTTTTTTTCCAGCTGGTCCTGGCAGTTTTCTTGTTAGACCCAGTGACAATTCCCCTGGGGATTACTCACTCTTTTTCCATATCAACAATCAGATTCAAAGGTTCCGAATTGAAAAAAAAGGTGTACGTTACCTCATGGGAGGCAGGACATTTGAGTGCCTTGATGCTGTTATCAATCGGTATCGCAAAGAGCAAATTGTTGAAGGACACACTTTACTCCAAGCGGTATCAAGGGTAATTTAATTTTTCAAACACTTGAATAATATGAATCTTGTTGCACACCATATTAGGCACATTTTTTTGTTTTTGTATCTAGTTACGTTTAATATATAATGTGTATTTTTACAGAATTTGTCTGAGATAGATGGTCCTGTAAAATCCAAAGAAGTACAGCATGCTGAAAAGATATACGCTACTCTTCGTGAATGCAGGGAACAAGTAGGGATAAAGAAGATTAAAGGTAAGTAAAAAACCCATTAATTTAATGTTTTTGAAACTTCTGTTAGTTTTATCGATTTTATCAAAACACTTCAAAAACAAACATGTCATTTGCATTCTATCAAGGTATTAAAATGCAAGGCTACCTTAACAAGAAAAATGATAAAAACAAAAAGTGGAAGCCAATGTATTGTGTTTTACTTGTTGATGGATCAGACACACAACTAATGTATTATGAGAACCCAAAGGTACTTGTGCATTATCTATCTAGATTTTTCTGCATGGTGGCAAGACTATTTTACTCTAAGAAATAGAAAATTGCTTTTTCATCCTTTGACTCCTGCCTTTCAGAGAACAAAACCCAAAGGCCTTGTCGATCTAAGCTGTGCATACCTGTATCAGGTTCATGACAGTGTATTTGATCGCCCAAATTGTTTTCAACTGGTTGAGAAAGCTCTACCATGTCTTGCAACAATTTCATATCTATCTGGTTCGAATGCTGACTCAACCCAGGTGTGTTGTGATAATACCTGGCTTAAGCTGGTGAAAACTTATGACATGCTTTATTCTTCAAATACTTTTATGACATTATCATTACAGGAGTGGATTTCAGCCCTCAGACCACTTTGTGTGACACAAATGACCCGAACACCAAAAATACCTAGGTTGAGGGAAATGCGGTGCTTGGAATTGCACATTCTAAATGCTCACAGGTAAGAATTTATGTTCATTTTTGTTGAAACTGATTTTTTTTTAAATCTATCTTTAATTAACACGTTTAGCTCAAGGCAATAACATAATTTGTTTCACCCTTTTATATTTTTGTTTAGGTTACCTTATAAGCTTGTCCCAAACCCATTTTGCATCATATCTTTGAATCAAGTGAAGGTTGCAAGAACTAAAGTCAATACTGGTCCTGATCCTTTGTGGGATGAAGAGTTCTTGCTTGATGATGTCCCACCCGATGTAATGACATTTAATATTACTGTGTACAACAAAGGAAAACGATCAAAGGACACTGAAGTTGCGGATTTGACTGTTGACTTGTCTTCACTTTCAAATGGAGATGAGGTCAGTCATTGAGGATTTTTGCATCCCTCTATTTTGCAATTGTTTGTTTTCAATTACCTTTATTTTTATTTTTCCTATCAGACAGAGGATTGGTACAGTCTTACTGGTATTATGACACCTATGGGAGATTGGGGATCTTTGCGGCTCCGCACCCGTTATGTGCATGACCTCATTATGCCCCAAGAAGAATATTCCCCCATGAAAGAACTTGTGCTTGATCCTTCATTAGAAGTGGTTAGAGCCCTTGCAGATGTTTGCCACATGGACCGAGGGCCTCTTGCAAACTCATTGCTAAGGATATTTCGGTTAGAAAAAATTCTAGTTGGCTGTTGTCATCTTGACTTTCAATTTAAAAGTGTGTCACAAAGTTTTAATATTTTACCAGGCATGAGCGGAAGGAAGCTGATTTGTTGAAAACGCTGAATGAAGTAGAAATAGAGAAAGAAGAAGAGACATCGACACTCTTCAGAGCTGCTTCTCTTACAACAACACTTATGGACTTGTACATGAAGTCAATTTGTACAGGTTTTCTACAAGCAGCAATACAGGATACAATTTTGAAGTTGCTTGATGCTAAGCAGTCATGTGAGCTCAACCCAACCAAAATGGAGTCTCCAGATGATGCTTGCAACAATGCCGAATATTTACTTTTGATTCTAGACGAAATTACTTTATCAATCTTCATGTCTGCGGAGGCTTGCCCAAGGTTGTTATATTTTTCTTTCTCTCTCTTTCTCTGTTTTCTATTTTGTCTTGAAAGTTTATGAATCAAGGTTGTAACTTATCATACAGTAATTTAAACTCCACATCACTTTTTCAGAACTCTGAGGTATATTTGTTGCTGTCTTCAACGCACTGTCATGGCAAAATGGCCACATGAAAGACTAGTCAGAACACGAGTTGTCAGTGGATTTATCTTCTTGCGTCTCCTCTGTCCTGCCATTCTTAACCCTCGTCAGTTTAATTTGATATCTGGTTAGTTGTCTGAGTTTTCCTTCGATTCAAAAAATGTATTATTTTTTGCATTTTTAATCTAATATGGTCCTCATAATTTCTTAGAGCCACCACCTCAAATGGCTGCTCGATCTTTAATAATGGTTGCCAAATGTCTCCAAAACTTGGCAAATCTGGTTGAGTTTGGTGGGAAAGAACCATACATGGAAGTTGTAAATCCTTTCATTTTGAAAAATAAGGAACGAATGGTGGTCTATCTTGACCAAGTTTCGGTAAGTTCAAGCCAACATAAAATTAACTATTGCAGAATTGAGAATGTAGTAAACCATTGCCTTTTTTTGTGCGGGGTCGGGTGGGGTACAGAACCTTGGAGATAAACCAGACTCTGAAGAAATTGGTAAGACTAAAGGAGATCCTGCAAGAGAGTTGGCCATCCTTCACCATATTTGTGTTAATCATTTGAAAGAGCTACAAACATTGAGCAAAACAAAGGTAAATATCATTTAGAATAAGATCACTTTAGTATTTGTGGTCCGTCGGCATTTTCACTAAAATAATATTTTTTTATTCAAGCCCACCATCCGACAACTAGTTACTGTCACGGAGATGCTGAGTAAACACAAGCAAAAGTACATGGAGATGATAGGTTAAGTAACATTAACATTCGTGCTCATTTGACCAATATCCCAATCAGGGTTTTTTGAAATCTTTCTTTCCTCCTTATTTTTGTTCCTGTCTTTTCACTTGGAATTTATGCTAATTTGAATATTGTTGTTTATGCTAACTGCAATATTGTGTTTTCTGTGAGTATACTTGTGTGAACATCTTAATATTCTATAATATTGCAACACATATTGATCTTTCTTTAACACGTTGAGTCCCAAATGACCACATGTATGGCCACAACAAGCTGTTTTTGCCCTTACCCTCTGGGATTCAATGTGTTTACATCTATGAAGATGACTTTGATCTTTTCTACTTATGTGAACTAACATTCAAGTCGAGCACTGAAAATAATTTTGCATTCAAATACCTAACTTTATATGCTTTGTATATTGTAAAGTAAGCCATGTACATGTCTTGTCATCTTTTTTTTTTTAAGTTCATAAACATTAACAATATTTCTCTACAAAACTGGTGTAAGTAACTAGGTCTATATTCTGAAGGTCTTGGGTTCCATTACCTATTTCCTGTTGTGTTTGGAGTTCAATCATTAGAATTGTATTTTGCATCGCTAACAAAAGGTAGTGTCGCTCTTCTGGGTAGATTCTGGAAGGCCCCCTGTCACATGCACTAGTTCTTAGCTTATAAATAGAATTGGTAGGTGCTAGACCTACAATGATCATTTCTTTCCCTTGTTGTGGTCTGTGTGGAAATTAGCGTTACTTATTCTGCCTAGTCCTAATCATTAATTTCTTTTTGTGTGATATCAAAAGCATTGCCCATCTCATGGGACAAGATAAATAATTGTTGTTTTGTGTAATTAATTGTATGCCATGACTTCAATTAAGTTCATTATGATCACTATTCCTGTCAATTATTCACACACATTTTTTTAATTTTCTAATTGCACTGATCTTGATATGTTCATCATCAGATATTTTAACAATAGTGGTCCAAAATTTTGTGCAACATTTAAGTCAATTTAGAGTTGCATATATGAGACTGGATGTCTATATCTATTCTTATCCTGGTCAGTAGGTCTTATGCTCTATGAGCAGTAAACAATCATGCTTCAGAATTTTGACAAGTGTTTGTGAGAAGTCAAAATCACTGTGATACGACACTTCTTTTAAACATTGACCTGTGAATTTTGTTGTCTTTTTGAACAATACATATTCTGCTCAAGCAGTTCAGCAGCACACTATGTAAACGTTTATCTTTTACCTGATTGTGTATTTTAAGTCATTTTGTTGTGATGGTAAAGTTGAAACTTTTTAAGTTTTTTTTTATCTATTATTTTTATTATTTTGTAACTTAATGTAAAACATGTATGTAGAATGAATTGAAGGTTGTTGGACTGTAGAGCTTTATGTATTTTTCCTGCAGTCTTATCACAATTTTATTGATCTGTCTTGTGATATGACTTCTTCTTCTGAACGTTACAGTATATACTTGGTTTATTTACAGCACTAGAATTGATGTTTGTAAAATATTACTGGTCTGATGTATCAGAACAATACAACATACCTACATGTTTAGGTATATAATGTGCCATGTCAAAAATTATCTTTATACTATGGTATTCATGGTATGTACTGTATAAGATTATAAACTTTCGACAATGCTCTTGCCAACCTCTGTTTAGCTTTTCAGTAAACTCTTTGTGTAAGTAAGTCTGATCAATCACACCCAGTTTAGATTAGATGATTTGTATCTTTTGGTACTGTAAGAGTTGAGGTTGTGCATTTTCATGTTTCAGTATACATATTTTTTAAGTTTGTGCTTTTTCATATTTAGCGTTTTAGCATTCCCAATCTCAAGAAAATGACTGTAAACATAGTTATTCTTACAGACTGTTAATACTATGTAATACTCACTGTTTTGGCCTTTACATTACTTTTGAAGCAATGGAAGTGAGTGGCCTTAGATGCTTTTATTGTGAGTAATGGATACTTGTCCTTCCTAATGTTTAGATCTAGAGTCTGCTAGAAATGAAATACTGTAGTTCTTGCTTTCTCAGTACTTTACTTTTTCTATAAAAAAAATAATTAATACATAACTCTATGTGCCAAAGTGCAATTCTCATGAGCTTAAATCACCTCCCATGGGTCATGTGTGAAATAACTTTGATGTGCAGTATTCTGAACAATTGTTTGAATCTTAGTTAAGGCCAATACTGTTTAGAAACACTTAATATAAGATGTTGCCAAAACTCATGTCTTGTTCGCTTCAGTTTGTCTCTAATCCTCTAAAAATTGGGTATGTGTCCGTTCACTTAGCATTTACAGTACAAAAAATACCTTTGGACAAATTAAATACATTTTAATTTATAACAAAAATATACTGCAGACACAGACAGATTAAAAAGTATGAGATGGAATGAGGGTTGAAAATTATATTACGACCAGAACAAAAGACTTAGCGCCATTATAACACAACACGCTGCTACATAAGGACTCTTCCGTTCACCAATTCTAGCACATTTCCAAAATGTGCCCAAGAACCTGAGGAAAAATAATAAAGTAAAACTTAAGAGTATTATGTACTTTAAAATAGATGTACTTGAAAAATTGAACTTACCCACTCTTGTGTCTATCTACAAGACTCGGAAATATTGAGCGAACATAGGCGCATGTGCAAATAAGGAGTAACACAACTGTCAGCAGGCTTTGAAAGTTGAAAAGAGCAGACTGTGAATAAAAGGATAAGAATTTAAGAGTGTAACATGATCAATTACTGATTAAATTCAAATTCCAGTGGTTAAGGAGCTGTGTTCATTTGGGGTTAGAAAACTAAGAATTAAGAGACAAAATCACTGAGCTTATGATAAAGGTTTGTCATTATTACATAATGCATAATTACAATGAGAAAAATTCGAAAAAAAAAGACCTTTCTTTGGTTTGGAGATGAAGTGCTAGAGTTACATCAACCCTTAAACAGACTTACCATCTTGATGACTCCTTCATACAAGTACTAGGTACTAGTCCAAAAGTGTCAAATGAAGTTTTCAAGAGAACCGCTTGCGTGTTAAACGACACAGTTCTAGGTAATGAGATACTGTGGCAGCCGCGCCTATTAACAAACACTTAACAATAACGAGAATGTGAGGGCAGAGAGACTAAATTCCGCATTCCGCGGTGTCGGCTTCTTCGACAACAAAACAGATCATGAGCATCGGCATCGGCGCCATCGTCATCCTAGCCTTTTAAAAAAAAATTAACACGACTCTAGTAGCAGACGACGGTAGCACTCCATAGTCAAGTAAGAAATTTACGTAGTCAAAAATTTCTCTGTAATTATTGATTGGTCTCTATAAAACTAATTAACACGTATAGAAATTACAAATTGTGTTTTGGTTTTCATTTGTCTTGATTTGGAAGTCTTAAATTTAATGGTGGAAGTGAATAAAGTTGCGGGAGATTGCCATGTCACAGCGGTCACAGAAGATTTATTTACGCCGGCAACCCACAATTACAGTTCTGCTTAGTTAACAATGTTTATCAAGAACATTTTCTTCTATCATTATCACCTAGGATGATACTGAGATGCATGTTGTGATGGTTAAAGCCACTACAAGACATTTGTGACCTTTCATTTGACGTGTGGGAAATTTCCGGAAGTTCTGTTCGTCTGAGAAGCCATCTGACTCCATTTTGTTTCGCAGCCGTAGAATTCTTCAGCTGGAAGGATGGCTGCAAACAACTATTTCGGATTTACACATGGCAGCACTCAATATGGGTGAGTTAAATCGTTAATGCGCTGCTTAGCTGTTGACTCGTTCTATCGGCGAACGGTTTTACGTTCACCGTGGTTTGGGGTTCGTGTAAATCCCAGATTTGGTGCAGCCTTGGCGGCCGGCGTCAACGTGAACTATTCTAGGAAACTGGATTCTATTCCTATTCTTCATTGCTATGTCGTTATTTCAATAAACATGATGACTCTCCTCTTATTTCCTTTCATTTATTTTGGTCGACTCCCGTTTGATTGAACAACAATCACTTATCAGCGTTGCATTTTATTCCTATGTCGGACGCTCGCGCTTTTCATCTAGTGAAGCTATACCGGGAGTTCTAGGCATCTCGAATCACCTAGATCCGTGTCATGAAACTTAACGATTGTTCTTTGAGTACTGGTCATTTTTACTTCTCGTTGAAAAGTAATATTGTATTCTTATTCTCCTTCTGTGATTAATATGACGTCGAATACTTCCCTACAATCGATTTTTCAACCAATGGCTAACCTTATAAATATGTCATGGGTCTCTTGAGGTGGATGAAAATATTGAACTGATTATTGCCAGTAGTCACTACTTTCTTTTCTGCTATTCAGAACTTCCTACATTTCAATAATGTTTCTTGGGTTCTTAACTGTTTCAAGACTTCTGAGACTTTTCTTCTTTTTTATGTGTTTGTGTCTATTTGTGACTTTTTCTTATATCAATAAATGAATTTGGGCATCAACCTGTAATTTATTTCAGGGCTGCCAGTGCTGCAGCGTATCCAACTGCTCAACCTGGTTATGCAGTAACTCCAGCAGCCGCTACAGCCACGTACTCACCTCAGCGTCCAGCCACCGGCTATGAAACCGCTTATCAAACTGCTGCAGCAGCTGCTCCAGCTACATATGCTGGTAATGGAATAAATGTCCATTTGACACACACAAACATTTCTCACTGCTATTAGGATCTACATTGCATTCTCTTTTCTAGCAGTAGGGGCTGGTACAGCTGCGGCTCCTGCATCTTATGATTATGGATATGGGGCACCGGCACAAACGGCTTATAACACAGCTAAGACTTACTACCAACAGCCAGCTGCTGGTGCTGGTGCTTATTCAACTGCAGAGACACATTATCAACGTGAGTTACTTTTCTCCTTGATCTCTTTTGGCTTTAAGATACGGTGAGACTGGTTATGATCTCCTATCCCTAATTATTTAGCATCTAAACCAGCCTATAGTACCACCAATACCTACACGGCTACAACTAGACAAACAGCCCAAGGCGTCCCAAAAGCTGCCGCCTATACCACTTCGTACTCTGCACAACCAACGCAGCCCAATGCCACCAGCTATGCATCAGGATATAATTCACCTGCTGTTGTTCAGACTCAAAGTAATGCTAAATGTAAGTAAATAATTTGGTTGATTTTTTATCATGTTCTATGTATTTAACTGATGTGTTGTTCTATTACAGCAACGTACAATGCAAACCAAGCCAACTCAAATGCAGCTACCTTCACCACTAACTATTCAGCTGCATCAGTGCCTAACCAACCTGCTCCTAAAACAAAACGTAAGTATGACACGTTTTTTAAGTCTTCCTTTTCTTCGTTTTATGATCCAAATTAGTTAATCCATGGCTTTTTATTTACTTTTATACATTTTTGTAGTGTACAATTAGTTCAGTTTCTAATAATACTCAAGAAAATTATTTTTTTTTAATTTTTTTGTTTTTGTTGTTATAGCTGCTAATTCATCATACTCTAACTACGATGCAGCTGTCTATAGTGCTGCAACTTTGTATGCTGCTCAATCTTCAAATCCCTCTGGGACGTCAGCTGGAGCTGTAGGATCTATTCCAGGAGCAGGGGTCGCTCAAAGTGCAACCACTGCTGCAAATAAGTTACCAACAGGCGCATCAAACACCATGTCCAGTGGGAGTACATCATCATGGCAGAATAATTACCGTAAAGGGCCTGTTGGCGGTGGTATTAGGAAATCATTTAATCCAAAGCAGCCACCTAAACAACAACAAGTTCATTATTGTGATGTTTGTAAGATTAGCTGTGCTGGGCCCCAGGTGAATGTTATTCTATTCTTTGTATTTCTTTGTTTCACATTGTCAAATATGTATCATTGCACTATTTCATTTGTGAATTGATTTTATAGACGTATCGTGAGCATCTGGATGGTCAAAAGCACAAGAAGAAAGAAGCTATGCTGAAAGCTGGTACAGCAACCACAAACAGTCAAAATGCTCTTAAATGTGAGCTGTGTGATGTGGATTGTACAGGCTCTGATGCTTATGCTGCCCACATTCGAGGTGCAAGACATCAGAAGGTGAACACTTCATTCAAATATGCGTTTTCAGTCCCTGAAATACCTTTGTCGGTGTTTTAGTTTTATTTTTAGAAAATTACATCTGAAGCTTTTTTATTCTTCTAAACAAAGGTGGTGAAACTTCATACTAGACTTGGGAAGCCAATTCCCTCAACTGAACCAGTAGTTCAAGGAAAATCGGGAGCACCTGTCAAGGCCAACATACCATCAAATTCTAGCTCAGGTACCCCAATCAAGAAGCCTATGACCACTATCACACCATCCACTTCAACCACACCAAAGATCAACTTTAATCCTTGTAAGTAATGAGTGCATATATTTCCCAATTCATGGTCATCAATGTTGTAGCGATATGGAATTGTCATTCTTGGCTTCTGTGGTGGCTGGGAGGTAGTAATCTAAATCTAATGAAATTTGATGTTATAAAAGAGTGCATGTAAAAGATACAATTCATTTTGAACAGTAGCTGTGTGTTCTTTGGTTATGGCTGCCTCCTAAATTATGTACCTTATTTCTCTTTGGTTCTGTGATACCATGGGCACTCTCTTTACAAGTCATTTCTGTTAAAGTTGATCTTTAGTTGGTAAGTATTATGATCTCTTTGCTGCATCAATGTGTGCAAATGACTCAATTTATTTTACTTTCTTCTTCTTCTTTGCTAAATATCCAGTTGCAGTTTTACACATCTTGTCTTTCATCTTAAATTTTTAAAAAAGTAGACTAGATTTTTTAAAGACTTGCATGGCTTGGAGCAGGGTAGTATTTCTTTACGTCAATGACCAGTCGAGCATTCATAGTGGAATTGTAGTGCTTTTTCTCTTGCACTTTTCTATTTAAAAACAGTTAATTTGGTTTTTTGTTTGCATTTCCAGCTGCCACAGTCACTGGTGTGCCAGGTTCATCTACCAGTGCAGAAGCAAAAGAAGATGACGATGATGTTGTAGACAAAGATGTACAACCTGTTGGCCAGGATTACATTGAAGAGATTAAAAATGAAGAGGGTTAGTATATATCTAAATGACAGCAGAATACATTCCATATTCTCATTGAACCCACTTATCGCAAATTTGAATTCTTTCCTTAAATTATACCAAATTGGTGTATGTTTTATGGCGATTGTCTTATGTGGAGCTGTGCCTTGGTGAATCAAGGCTGGCCTTTTCCCAACTTTCTCTAGACCTGTAGGTTGACCGAATTGTGACAGTGACATTATTGTCTTATAATTGAGTCCTAGATTCCCTTTGGAAGTTGGACTGAACTCTGCTTGAATAGTGTCTGAATTAATCTCATTATTTCAAGTTCTGCCAGTAAACATACATATGTTTGGACGTTCGCCGGGCACAATTGGTGAAACTTCCTTTCGCTAGAGAGAAACCGCTGAATGTCCGATCTAAATACTGTAGCTTTGTAAATTATAACACGACATTCGCCAATGTCGTCTGGGGAATCTGGACTCTCGCCGGCGAGTTTTGACGTTCCCCACCACCGGACATTCGTTGTAACACTTCACAGGACACATATGGACCTTGCCGTAAGAATGTCTTAAGTTTCTTGGTACTAACAATGTCTTACTGCAATAGGAAAATCTACATCATTCATGTGCAAGTTGTGTGAATGCCGCTTCAATGATCCAAATGCTAAGGAAATGCACATGAAAGGCCGCAGACATAGACTACAGTACAAGAAGAAAGTTAATCCTGAGCTTGTTGTTGAAGTCAAGCCTTCCCTGCGCCAGCGGAAAGGAATGGAAGACAAACAGCGGCGCATGCATTTCAGAGAAGACTTCATGAGACGCAGGGATGAAGAGAGAATGATGCGAGGGTATTTATTAGACTTTCTAGAGGTTTACCGTCAACTATGGTTCCTCTTTTCACTCCTGATTTCTGTTCTGAGGGTTAGTTGACGGTACTGAGATCAAGATTTCTGTTTTAGTATGATGGAGGAGGAAGAGCGTTATTGGGAAGAAAGGCATCGCTACGAGCAAGAGATGGAGTACTTTGAATGGTGCCGCAGATTTGGTAGAGATCCCCGTCCTTTGGGACCTCCTGGTCCAAGATTTGGCCCCCCGGGCCCAGGCCTTATGATTCCTCCAGTGAGTATTTGCCCTTAATCATAATGAGTCAAATTATACTTTGAATCTGTTTTTTTTTCAACTGTTAGTTTCATGAATTTTGTGTGTAGTTTTTCGGTCAGCCTCCCATGATGAGAAGACCAGATTCAATGGAGGATCGTCATGTCATAGCTCGACACACTGAAATTTACCCAAGTGAAGAGGAATTATCAGCTGTTCAAAAAATTGTGTCTCATTCAGAAAAGGCTCTGAAATTTGTATCTGATCATTTAGCGGAAATCTCCCAAGCTGCTGGTAGCAAATCTGGGGCCAAACCAGGCAACCCGAAACCTACACAAGTTAAAACTCCCGCTACACCAGCTAAACCAGGTAAATTATTGTACCTATTGTTTTTCCCATTTGGCTTGTATTCTTTTTGTATCTATGTCCTTGTTTCTCCATCACCTAACAGGATCTTCAACTCCAGCCACTCCTGCTCCAACTGCAACTTCTGCTGCACCAAATGCTTCAGCAAGTACACCTGCTACCCCAAAGGTTATTAAAAAGGAAGATGGCAGTGATGGCACTTTGTAAGCACCATACAATTACAGCTTTCCTTTTTTTTCTTGCCTTTCTATTTGCTTCTCTCTGACATTTCTTTCCTCCATCCTCCAGGTTCTCATTTCAACAGAATAAGGAAGAAGCTACAACTGGTCATAGGCTGCTTAAGGGTGTTATGCGAGTTGGATCCTTGGCTAAGGGTCTTTTACTGCATGGTGACACTTCAGTCAATCTAGTAGTTTTGTGTGCTGAGAAACCAACTCGTTCCTTGTTGTACAAAGTTGCTGAAAACCTCCCTAAACAATTGCAGGTAATATTTTCTTCTAGCCGTCATTATGTTGTTTGCAATGCTTTTTCTTAAGATTCAAATGAGAAATTCAAATTATTTTAATGGTTTATTTTTAGGTTGTGGCACCAGAAGACAAGTACAGTGTGAAATGCAAACCCGAGGATGCGGCATTGGTTGTCATCGGAGCCAAAGAGCCTCACATCACAGTTACTATCACCTTAACTTCCCCTGTGATGCGGGAACAAATTCAGGTCCCCTCTGCTGAAGCGGCTGGTGGTAAGATTAGTGCCTGTAATTTTGTACTTGGCTTCATTGAAATAATCACTGGTTCTTTCACATATATTATTCATCTTCAGCAATTACTTACTTTTCTTAAATTGATTGTAATTTTAATCAATTAACAATAATTAGAGCCGGTTTTGGTTTTAAAGTGAGGCAATTAAAGTATATTTAGGGTATTGTTGGAAAGCATCAGTGAAATCTAAATATTATTACATGTTTCAAGTTCCAATTTAATAGAGCAGTTTCACTAGATAAATATCAAATATTCTTAAAACAGGATGATATTTACAATTATGGGTTGTATGCTGTTCAATTGTTAAATACCATCCCTTGGATAAAGTTGATGTTGACTAGCTTATATTCCACCTATCCTTAGCTTATTGGCGATACAATAGTGCCTGACACACTTCAAATTCTATCATTCAATATGTAATCCTATCTGCATAAAATATCAGGATTAGTCATGAAATGTTGTACGAGCCTTCCTGTATCTTTTGAGACTGCTCATGTGTAAGTATAACTTTTGCTTTTGGCTTGGCCCGACTGTTATAGATGTTAGCCAAGTTACTGTGCACTAGTCCATTTCTTACATTATTCCACACTGCCTCTCTTGCAGTTAAGTGAGTTCATAATATTCAGAAAAGTATCATACTCAGTATAGGTAAAGAAGTGAAATAATTGTGTGTTGTGATATTGAGTTCTTTATCTTCAAATTTTCTTGATTGTGTTTCCTTCACTTGTAATCTTAGATCTTCATGCATTTAATTATTTTATTTTTTTTGAAAGAAATTGATAATGCAATAGTTGTGACATCAGTGCGCAGTGTAAGCTGTTCCTCTATTACACATTGTATTCTGTTAAGGTTTCTAGGTGTGCCTCCAAACAACTCAAGCTGGGATTTCAAGGATTTTTGATCATGTGGATGTAAAGCAGCCCCACAAAGTGGTTCTATTTCATCAAAGCTAATGTAGAGGGTGGCCAAAGTGTACAATTTAGGTTTCTATACCTCATGCATGAATGGTTAGGAAAGAAGGGAAAATATTTTTAAGCATCTTCTGCTGTGGTCAAAAGCTTTGTGGAATGAACCAAAATGTGGAGTTGTTTTACCTATATGGTGATGGATGGAGAAGTGTCAAGCACCATGTTGGGCTGGTGTGTGGCGCTTCTGCCCATGGTCAAACACCCTTAGCCTGCGTGTCTGCGTGTCTGTGGGCATTGATTAACTTTGTTTGTCCGGTCAGACTCAGCTCAGGCAGCGATTGTGAAGGTGAAGGACCCCCCAGACGTGCTGGACAAGCAGAAATGTTTGGAGGCTCTTGCCGCCCTGAGGCATGCCAAGTGGTTCCAGGTATCTTACTACTTCACCTGCCTCACCATGGTTGAATACTCACTTTTCAGCCTTGTTTAGTCAATAATAGTTACTCAGAAGCATAATTCAGTCAATATCTAGTATGCAGTTTTTTTTCTCTAGAAAACTGTATTATAACATGTAATTTTGTAAATTTACTTTAAACCTTGAACTTACAGCAAATTTAATCATCTTACAAAATGAGATTGCTTTTAACTTAAACCATCTTAAAGCTGCACTATGCTCCTGGTGTTCTAAATTATTCTGAAATTGGCACACATTAGCTAGTTACACTTGACTATCCAATAACTTTATCATAAGTTGACTCATATATTATTGTATTGGCTTTTTCTTAGTGTGTTCTGAAAGTCATACAATATAGCACTTCTAAAACTTCGTAATCTTACCAACTTTGATATCTTTACCTTTCTTGTCTTAATGAGACGTCTAGTTTTTGTATGGCAGTTGTGTGTCATTTTCATGAGACAACCCACTTCCTGGGCATTGTTGCCTCCATCTTCAATCTATTTAGAAATATGGTTGGGATGATAACTTTCACAAGGCTGAAAGGTAGAATTGTATGGCCAGCCATGATAATGCAGTCGCACTTTCGCACTGTCTTAATTTTTTAAACACTGCATGGTGTTAAAAGGAAGCAAGAAACTTCCTCTTGAAGATTTCAAAGTTATCATTTCTTTTATTAGAATGTGAATAACACCTTACAAAAAATAAAAAAACAAGTTTGCAAACGGTGCGAAGTTGAGCGGGGAGTAAGTTGTGTATGGGGTGGAGAAAATTTTCTGTATGCATCCTAAATTGTTTGTTTTACAATTTTCAGGCTAGAGCAACACAGGTTCAAAGTTGTGTTATGATAATTCGAATATTAAGGGACCTTTGCCAGAGAGTTCCTACATGGGCCCCTCTTCACAATTGGGTAATGTAGCTTCCTAATCCAAAACCACACTCGAATTTTGTAAAATCACATCTTAATGTTATTGTTGTTGTCTCCCTTAGCCTATGGAACTTCTCGTTGAGAAAGTTTTAAGTTCATCTCCACCTCCTCCATTGAGTCCAGGAGAGGCTCTAAGAAGAGTTATGGAAGCACTTGCATCAGGAATAATGTTGCCAGGCGGGCCCGGCTTGTTAGACCCGTGTGAGAAAGAGCCCGTCGATGCTGCAGGAATGTTGACTCCTCAACAAAGAGAAGATATAACTGCCTCAGCACAGGTTCGTGTGGTGTTGTTATTGCTGTATAAGGGTTCGTTAATAATCTAATCTTAAATGCAAACTTTTTTGTTTAGCATGCCCTTCGTCTTCTGGCATTCCGACAAATCTTCAAAGTCTTAGGCATGGATCAATTACCTCCTAACAAATTTGCTAGAAATCGCTTTGGAACACGTAAACGTCGGCGAGAAGGAAGTGGAGGGGAAGGCAATGATCCAGAAGGTACATTATTTTTTGAAATCAATCTTAGTGTAGTGGAAATATCTGTTATTTTCCTTTAATCTCAGATTTTTAAAACGTTTGAAGACTTTCATTGATACAAAATTTTCTTTGTTACAGCTGTTGATGGCAAGAAAGATAAAAAGGATGAAGTTGTGAAAATGGAAACCGATAAGTAGCGTGACTGTGTTTTACCAGAAAATTCTATTTGAAGTTGCAATTATAGTGTTATGCATGATTGAATGTGTTGTAACGCGTTCTATCACCAGCAATTTGTTTCTTTACCTAGTAGTAAGTTGTGATTGTGTGTCTGTTGTAACTTGATATATTCAGTCATTACATAATATTTTGTTGATCTTAAAAGATTTTTTTTGTTAGTGCACTTATTTTCATCATTATATTAATCATGCTTGAGCCTTGTATTGATGTGGATTGCACATTTAACTGACAAGACATTTAATTTGGAAGGTCTTATTTTTACTCAGATTGGAATATGTTTGTAATAGAAATACTGGAATGCAACTATCCTGATGAAACTGTATTACAAACTGACAGGTAGTACTGTATACTGGTAGTTCTTTTCTAAATCCACATGAGTCTTAAGATAAAGTCGATGACCTGTTAAAAGCCGCAACATATGCAACAGTTTTATGTTGGTCTCTCAATATTTTTCATGTTTGTTTTCTGTGAGTGATGTTTGGATTTACAGGCAAGTCTGCCCTATTATTATTTTGTTCCCTCCAAGATTCTTGATTGTTTAGGAAGCATTGCTACTTTTACTTCAAGTTTCTTGTTATTAAACAACTAGTTAGGAAAACTCTGTAGTAAGATAGAAAGATATGCATCATGTGCTTTATCAGTTTTTATTAAGCATCAGGACTTAAGCCCGCTGAAACATTATAGTGTGACTTACCTCTACAAATAGTATTTGAGTCTTTTTATGGGCAAAAGCTTAAGTCCCTATCTTGTCTATTCCATCATCTGGTACAAGTGCTCTATATGTTCCTGCACCAAATGATCATCTAGAAGTGTAACAAAAGAATGAACCAAGTGGTAAGTGCAAATGGGCATTGTATAGGTATGACCACTCTTGGGGTGACCTGTGATTTTATGCATACTAGAGTTTAATTGTACATTAATATATAAATTCATTGGAACAAATAAAGAGTTAAAGTTAAATCTCTCATTTATTAGTAGATTGCATACACCATTGCCCATCACATTTTGTATACCTAGTTTACCTAGTTGGTCGAGTACCTAGCTATAAATAACTAAAGCTGAAGCTATTGGCCGAGTAGGGTAAGGTGCCCTATTGTGGCCACTGTCCCATTGATGGCCACTGTTCTCGATTTCCAGCCAATCTGGTCGCTTTACAATCCTGGCCATGAAGTAGTGTTCTAGTAAGGGCCCTACTTGTGCATAATAAGCCAAACTACTTCACATCGTTGTCTACATTACAAGAAAAAGGGGTGGCCATCATTGGGCATCTTACCCTACCTAGCTATAACTAAAGCTGAAGCTATAACTCTGAGACCCTATGTCAAACAACTGCAAACCCCTTGAAGGATCAAGATGTACTTTCTTTGTTTGCTTGGTAACAAGAACACACATCACACATGCTTGTCTCAAGACACATGCCTTGAGAAAAGGCACAGGCACATGCGCTTATCCCTGCACAACGCTTTGAATGCCCCCGCCCCCTTTCTCGTCTTCAAATTTCCCATCTCTGTGGTTTGAAGAAGTGTAGTCTCGCTATAGGGTGGCAATTTGGTATCCGGGGGTCGTGTGGTTCTTAACTCAATTGCAGTCCAGTCCAGTCATTAGGTTGTGAATTCTTCTTCATCTTCATTCTACAAGAACGATGGAGACGACTGAAATCATCCGTGGTCAATATTGTGTCCTGGTCAATGCCTATCGCCCATCCAATATCCTCCTAGCATTTCAAATTTCAATTGCGCAATTTTTCATAATTGTCAACCCATAGCCTCATACCTTTCCGCACAGAAAAAATTAAGCATTTAAGTGGCACGGACCGAAGAAAAATAAATGTATTGTAGTGAGAATGGCTAACACAGGAGTATTACCTTTTGTTAGGGGAGTTGATTTCTCCCTTAACGACTTCAGTGTAAGTACTTTTTCCCCATTTTCTTGCGACTGCTGTGTTAAATATCATTCATGTTACTTCATTTAGCAAATCATGTAGGTTAGTGTTCCTCTTTCACCTGTTAACAGTACTTAGATTTTTAACAACATCTATATGTCGCTCATGCCTTAAATTTCGTCAAGTTTTGATGTTAATTTTTCGTTTTACAAGGCAAAAAGGTTCTCATTAATTCTGGGTTTATGTTTGTTTATTCCTAGGATGGACGTTTTCCTCATTCTATCCGATTAATGACTGGAGTTCAGTGGTTGAAGTTGGACGGTGTTCATCTTGCTCAGATTCCTGAAGAAATGGGAAATCTTCTGAAATTGGTGTGTAATATCTCTGAAAATGAATTTAAGTGTGTCTCAAGCTACCCCGATAAATGTATTGAATCATTTTTGTGCAGGAGCATTTATCTTTGAAACGAAACTGCCTTGAAAGATTGTATGGAGAGCTACCTGAACTTTCTTGCCTGAGATCTCTTAATCTACGCCATAACAAACTTAAAAGCTCTGGAATACCCGCTGAATTATTTCGTTTGGAAGAGCTGAGCACATTAGATCTAAGCCATAATAATCTTAGAGATGTTCCAGAAGGCCTGGACCGAGCACGATCACTTCTTGTTCTTAATCTGAGTCACAACATGTAAGTGAATATATTTTCAGACAGCTGAGTATGCATTAGTGATGAACACATAAATAGTATCAATCTGATCTCTACCGCCTCTGCTTTAATGAAATACTCTTTCCTTGTAGGATCGAACAAATACCTAACACACTTTTTATGCATTTGACGGATCTCTTACACCTGGATTTAAGTTACAATAGTCTTGAAACTCTTCCTCCTCAAACCAGAAGGCTAGCAAATTTACAAACACTTGTGCTTAATCACAATCCTATGGGCCATTTCCAGCTAAGGTAAGTTTCGATGAAGTCCTTATTTTTAGTTTGAGCCTATTCCTGGCAATGGCTTATCTTACCTCCTTGCAGGCAACTTCCATCCCTTACAGCTCTTCATACCCTTCACATGCGCTGTACAATGAGAACGCTTCAAAATATGCCCAATAGTCTAGAGAGTCTCACTAGTCTCTCTGATGTAGATCTCTCAGTGAATGGATTACCACGTGTTCCTGAGGCACTATACTCCTTACCGAATCTGAAAAGACTTAATCTCAGCTCGAACAACATCACTGAACTTTCGTCTGCTGTGGGTTAGTGTTAACCCAGCTTCAAAGAAATTTTAATCTAACTTAGTAATATTTCAAAGTTGTACCAACAATATCTTCTCTGTTCCAGAAATGTGGTCAAATTTAGAAGTGTTAAATCTTTGTGATAATCAGCTTACAGCACTTCCAGCCTCATTATGTAAACTGGCATCTCTTAGAAAGCTCTATCTAAATGATAATAAATTAGATTTTGAGGGAATCCCTTCAGGTGTTGGAAAACTGGGTAGCTTAGAAGTGTTTTCAGCATCTAACAACCAGCTGGAAATGATACCTGAAGGACTGTGTCGGTAAGTGATTTGAACTCAAGCTCTATCCTGCCCAACTTATTCAATGTGTGGTTTGACCTCACCTTTTCTTTTATCTGGAACATTGTATTGATTTCTTGCAGGTGTGGATCATTAAAAAAACTTATTCTAAGTGGAAATCGTTTGATAACATTACCAGATGCTATTCACTTAGCTGAGCTAGAAACATTAGACCTGAGGAATAATCCCGATCTAATTATGCCACCTAAACCAACAGAAGCCAGGCGAGGTGCTGGTATTGAATTTTACAATATTGATTTCTCTCTGCAAACACAGCTTCGGCTAGCTGGAGCAAGTGCACCAAACCCCCAACCATCTCAAAGTATGAACCATTTAGCGTTTGAATGTACCGCACAAACAATATTTAAGCCTTATTTAAACACTTTTGTTTAACCATTTAGGCACTAGCAAAGATCCAATCGCAAGAAAGTTGCGTTTGAGACGGGGTCGACGAGACCAAGAAGAGGCTGACCAAGACCAAGCTAAGATCCTCAAAGTATGAATTCATCCATAAATACGCACTTACTTAGGTCGTTGTTTTCACTATTGCCTGTAATAAATTTGAGTGTTCATTATTATTTTGTTTTAGGGAATGAAAGATGTTGCTAAAGAAAAGAACCGCAGAACATTAGAGGAGGTCAAGGCAGAATCTTTGAAGTAACTATGTACATTTAATATGGAATGTAATACTGTGTTTGCCAATACATGTGTTAATCTATTTCCTGTTGTTGTAGGCCAAAGAGGTGGGATGAATCACTTGAGAAACCACCCTTAGATTACTCAGAGTTCTTTGATGGTGAAGCTGGACAGATTCCAGGTTTATCAGTCTGGGAGATGGAGAACTTCCTTCCTAATCAGGTGTGTTTTGTGCTCTAGTTTATCTGTATTCAATTCAGCCTAATCTTGTGATTCAAACATTTTATGAATTAAGATTTTGTGTAGGTAGTGTAGATACATTCATTTATTTTTTCTATCTATTAAATATTTGAAAGGTTTCTTAGTCAAGGTGATGATTCCAGTAAGTTACGTCTCTCTAAGATTTTAAATAATTAATTGTGGGATTGCTGCTTAGATTTATCCTCCTCGATTCTCCGATCAAGTTTTTGAAACAGGGGGTAAGGATGGAGAAAACATGATGGTAAGCGTGATGCTAGTGGATGGCGATAAAGCCTACGCATGACGCACGAATGTACACCTCTCCAATTCTACCTTGTTCTGACATGAGTCATAGCTTTCTCATATTTTCAGCCTCAGTCTGTCACTTTATTCCTGATTTAGACTTCATGTTTTCATTTTTGAGCAAGTTTAAGTCCAACCAACTACTACTAGAGCTTTTTACTAGTGCAGTAGTCTGATTAGCAGATAGTATCAGGTTGAAGTTTGTCCAGAACTGACTAAACAGGACCTAAAACATGGCGACAGCAGAACCAAGAAGATATAGCATTTGTCTCCTTTTCCTTCATGCATTTTTTTTCTTTTATCCATCCTATAGTTTGTTTCCTACTCTTTGCATAAAGAATATTTTTAAAAGATATCTACATCAGATAGTGTAGCATGCAACTGTAGTTATAAACTACACCTACTACTTTTTCATAAGTCGTAACACATTCGCAAAACATTTGTTTTGTTAAAGAATTCGTAACTGACAATTTTTTTCTGAAGAAATCTAATTGTGGACTAGCTGGTGTTGGTGTACCTAGGAAGATAATTTTCCCTTTCAATGTTATTCATCTATTTGGGGGGTTACCATTTGTCCGTAAACATCTATTTTAGTATTTATACTGTATACTTCAATTAAATATAATTAAATATAACAAAAATTGAGTCCATAGGTATTGGGCAGTCCTGAAATCTACAAAAACCATCTAATCTCTTATTCTTTTAGTGTTTAGTCGTAGAATATTTATGTTTACCATTCCTTTTCTTCTTCTTATTTTTTTTTTATCTATTTTTTTTTTTTTATCCATTGTTTACCTATGACGAAAGTCAATCTATAATGGATTTATGAAATGTCACTAAGGACAAACTTGAAAATTGCTTCTTTCCTATCTAACATAATCTTGTATTTTGAATAGGTCGAAGAAGTTGCCCATGGCAAGTTCTACGAGGGTGACTGTTATATTGTGCTCAAAACTAGCGTTGATGATAATGGTCAACTCTCCTGGCAAATCTATTTTTGGATCGGTGACAAGGCAACTGTAAGGCTCTCATCACCTGAAAATAAATTGTTTCCTGCTAGGTTAAAATTTTCAATAATTCTGTTTTCATATTCTTATTACAGCTTGACAAAAAAGCCTGCGCAGCTATTCATGCAGTTAATTTGCGCAACTATTTGGGCGCTCAGTGTCGAACTATTAGAGAGGAGCAAGGAGATGAATCTGAAGATTTCCTTGCTTTATTTGATTGTGATATTGCGTACATTGAGGGTGGTCGCACTTGTAGTGGATTTTATACTGTGGAAGATACAGTGTATGTGAAGAGACTGTATAGAGTACATGCTGCATCTAGTCACGGTATTCACCTAGAACCAGTCGCAGTAACTCATACATCTTTGGACCCACGATATGTTTTTGTACTTGACTGTGGTCTGAAAATTTATTTGTGGTATGGACCTCCAGCAAAGAACACTTTTAAAAGCAAAGCCAGGTATTTTTATTGAAACAATAGCTTTAAATTATGTTAAATTAATTGAAAATTTGTTGCATTTTGTCAAACCATGTTATGTTTCAGGCTCTTCGCTGAAAAAATGAACAAATCTGAACGTAAAAACAAGGCGGAAATTATGACTGAGATTGCTGGCTCTGAAGACAGTGACTTTTGGGTAGCATTAGGCTTAGAAGATGGTGAACCTCCCTCTGAGACTATTGCTGAACACGTTGATCCAAACTTTTCTCCTATGACTCCAAGACTGTATCAAGTTCAACTTGGAATGGGCTACTTAGAACTCCCTCAAGTGGAAGTTCCTCATAACAAACTTGAACACACACTTTTGCAAAGCCGAAATGTGTACATTCTGGACTGTTTTTTGGATGTGTTTGTTTGGTATGTTTTCCAATCAAAAATCATTATCTATCTAATTTTATTATCAAATGTTCGGTCTAAAATTATTTCTCTATCAGGTTTGGGAAAAAGTCAACTCGACTGGTAAGGGCTGCTGCTGTGAAGTTATCTCAAGAGTTGTTTGCCATGCTGGAGCGCCCATCTCATGCATGGGTTACAAGAGTGCAAGAAGGGACAGAAATTCAACTATTTAAATCAAAATTCTCTGGGTGGGATGAAGTGATAGCTGTTGACTTCACCCGCACTGCAGAATCTGTTGCCAAAACAGGTGCTGATCTGACGAAGTGGGCAAGACAGCAGGAAACCAAGGTACAGATTCACAATATCTAATCTTCATCTAAGTAATATGATGTGATTAATGATAAAAACCTATGAAATTTTTTTTTCACAGGCGGATCTTGCGGCATTGTTTACTCCAAGGCAGCCAGCAATGCCAGCATCTGAAGCACAGCAACTTATGGAAGAATGGAACGAAGATTTAGAAGCAATGGAGGCTTTTGTCTTGGAAGGGAAAAAGTTTGTCCGGTTGCCTGAAGAAGAATTAGGTACAACATTGTCAGTGTGTACCATAAATTACAGTAGATGTCCAATTTTAACCATTTATTATGTTTTCTTTAGGCCACTTTTACAGTAAAGACTGTTATGTGTTTCTCTGCCGGTATTGGGTCCCTCTTGAATCACCTGACGAGGATGGGAATGACGGTAATAATGAGGAAGAAAGGCCACCCCTAGAAGATGACTACCAATGTGTCGTGTATTTTTGGCAAGGACGTGATGCTGGTAACATGGGTTGGCTTACTTTTACATTCAGGTAAGATAGGGGTGTACTTTTCTTTCTCAGGTTAAGTTACATCATTCAATTGGGAGACTAAGAAAACAAATAATTCTTACACAGCCTTCAGAAGAAATTTAAGTCTCTATTTGGAGACAAATTAGAAGTTGTGCGCACTCACCAACAGCAAGAAAACTTGAAGTTTATGGCTCATTTCAAGAGGAAGTTCATTATACACATAGGTCGTCGAAAGGAAAAGAAACCTGCTGATCAAGCAGCTCCAGTAGAATTTTTCCAGCTACGTTCCAATGGATCTGCCCTGTATACTCGTTTGGTTCAAGTCAAACCTGAGGCAACTACTTTGAATTCAGCATTCTGGTGAGTCATATATCAGATCTAAGAATGAAACATGAGATATAATTGCATAATTTTCTGTCTATGGAGATGATTGAAAATTTAGTCATTTTACTAACAGCTTTCTTTTTTCCCAGCTATATACTCAAAGTACCATTAGATAAAGAGGCTGAATCAAGCATTATCTATGTTTGGCTTGGGTCTAAAGCTGATCCAGATGAGCTTCGGTTGGTTGAGGAAATAGCTGAAGAAATGTTCAACAATGTAAACTCCACAATTATATTTTCTATAAACATAGGTACTTTCTCCTTCAAGAAAATGAATAACTAATATTTTTGCTTATTACAGCCTTGGATTAGCCTTCAGTATATTAATGAAGGAGAAGAACCTGACAACTTTTTCTGGGTTGGCCTTGGTGGTAAAAAACCTCATGATACTGATGCAGAATTCATGAAGTACACTCGTCTTTTCCGATGCTCCAATGAGAAGGGATATTTTACTGTGTCAGAGAAGTGTTCCGACTTTTGTCAGGTGTGTGATGTAGAATATTTCTACCATTATGATCTTGGGATAAAATATGTGCAAGACCCTTGTATAAAATCAAATTCATTATTCTATGTTTCTTTTAATTGCAGGATGATTTAGCAGACGATGACATAATGATATTAGATAATGGTGAGCAAGTATTTCTATGGCTGGGAGCACGATGCAGTGAAGTGGAAATAAAACTTGCTTATAAGTCAGCCCAGGTGTACATTCAACACATGCGTGTGAAGCAACCCGAAAGACCTCGGAAGTTGTTCCTCACCTTAAAGAACAAAGAGTCTCGGCGATTCACCAAGTGTTTCCATGGGTGGGGAGCACATAAAAAGCCACCTGAATAGATATTTCACGTTCCTAAGTCAAACTTTCCTGTAATGTTTATAAATGTGATATAAATTTCATGAAAGCTTGGCAGGGGTTAAATACTTGAGGTATCCCTGACTGGACGAATAATAGGACTTAAACAATATATGACATGTTCAGTGTGAATTTTAAATAATTTATCTAATCAGATGCAAGAGAGAACATTTAATGACTGACATATGGAAATGTCTTCCGGGGGTACCTCCAGCCCATCTCCTTGGCAAGATGTTGATTATATATTCCTTCATTGATTTATTATTTTGGAGTTTAGCCCAAGCTGACATTTTTGAGTTCTGCTCTAAAGCATTGAGTTCTCTAAAGTTTACCAGTCAACTTTTATCAGTCCTTAAGTTAATTGAATTTTAAATATCTGCCATTTCAGTATTTGCCAGTTTAATGGCTTTCTCCAGAGTCCAGAAAGGTAATGTGCTTTGTTTCCAAAAAAAACTATTAGATTTTTAATTGGCAATCTTTTAATAACATTTTTCACTATGTACTTTTTATTTCTAATGAAGGAGTATCTTTTAATTGGAGTCCCTTGTAGTTTGTATATTTTTATGATATGTGATATGTATCTATAGACCAGACTTGATGACATACTTAAGGCACTTAAGGATGTCTGTTTTCAACCGTACCCATGCAGCCATTAACTAGTCTAGTATCTGTGTCCCTTTGATGTGTCATAACTTTTATTAATTAAAATTGTTATTATTGTACTAATTTATATTTTTTGTTCGTTGACTTAATGTTGTGCAATTTATTTTAGAGCATTAACCTACCCTGTTGTTGTTGACAGAGTATTTGTGTACATCAATTATGAGCCCTTTAGAAATGTAATTCACGACCTATTTAGACATTTTGGGTCAAAAATGGGTCAACTTTAATCTTTAACACAGGGGCTGTCGCTTGATCACCGAATTGTCAAGCTCAGTGTTGAATGTGGTTCTAGGAAACTAGTCCACACCACAGAAAATGTGTTAAAACAGAAATTTCAGCTAGAGCCTGTTGATCAAAGAACTGATACACTCTTTTCAGTATTGATAACATTTGTAAGTGACTACTTATCTTTATGAATTGATTAAACTATTTTAATGTCATGAGCCGATTTTGTCTTTTCCTATTGTCATTGAAAAAACTACTTCATTGCTTTTGAATGAGGGGTACACACCCTTCGAAATGAATTTACACTGACTTGTGACTGAACAGGCAGGACGAATTGACTGGATTTTTAAAATCTCTAAAACTGGAACGAATAGCAAATAAAAAATCGTGGCATTTTAAATTATTAATTCTATTTTTTTTGAAAATTTTGCTAATGTATACCAAGTGGATGAATAACCCCGCTTACTTCTCTGCAGAGGGGTAGCCTACTCGCTTGGCCCCTAAGTAAGTAAGGCATGTGCTGGGGCGATAGGCCAGCGCGCCCGCGCTCGTGGCACAGAAGTGCGCGAGGCTAATCAGCCACCTGGTATTATTACTTGTTACTACTTTTTGTGATCTGCTCAGTGACTGGAGGAAGTTGTGTACTTCTCACCCATACCAACTAACAGGCAGTGCAGTGACACTCTCGCACTCTCGTTTGTTAGCAGTATTTACGGGCGATACCCTCAACCTCACCCCGCCATAGCAGTTGAGGGAATCCAGGCCATTACCCCCACCCTAAAGAGCTCCGACCGGAGCGCACTGCACCCAGTAGGAGCCAGAAGCAGCGGCCGCAGAGAACGGGGGAAAGAAGGCAGGCGGGTATTAAGGGGGAAAGGGGGGGGGGCGATCGCCCCCTGTGGTCCATTAGAAAGCCGCCTAAAGGTAGGCAATTTGACCTACAAAACCTCTGTCTGTAGTCAACTTTCGATGCCCCCCCCCCTCTCCGCCCCCCTTAATACGCTCTGAAATAAGGATGGATCTGGCCAGAAATCCGCCGAGGTCAATTCAACGGCAAAATGACAAAATCGCCCCTTTTCTTTTTAGACAGTCCAGACTGTCTCTACCAGAGGGGGGAAACGTGCCCCCCCCCCCCTCGCTTCTTATCTAGAACAGGGCCGCAGGGGCTCCTGTTTGAGGGGACTGTCTCTTTAGCCCTGTGGGCTACTTATTTAGCAGATGGTACATTTAAAACAATTTAATCTATACTAACGATCAAATGACACGACACTTAACTGTGTCAGAATGCTTGCACTGTCGTGTAACGAGTAGGGAGGCATAGGGCGACCCTGGCGCAGGGTAGAGGGAGAGACCAGAGGGAAGGCCCAGTATTGTTGGGTATAGTCGGGCACCACTCTTGTTTTGTACCACCAGCCCGACTATACCCAACAATACTGGGCCTTCCCTCTGGTACGACGCCAGGTGACCGGATTGCGAGCAAAACATTTCTAGATATGAGAGAGAATTAGAACACAGCCCTCTTCTTAAATATTTGTATCATCTGCTTCCAATCATCGATTCTTGATCGAGATTTTTTGTTTTGCATCAAACTCATGTAAGCTTTTAAGTCCATATAACTTAGTCTGAAAGCAATTTAGCTGCGCTGCGATCAGGTTTCGGGAACTACA